GACGGTTTTACTTGACTTTTTATAACATTTTTTGGATTCTAATATACCTACCTAAGTTATTTTAATTATTTACAACCTAATCTTACATAATTAAAAAATATCTTTGCAAAAATAGTAAGAGATAAGGTTTTTAAGAATTTCAATGTATGTTGTTTATTAAAAAAGACCGTAAATCCCTCACCTTTTTTCGCACGTTCATCAATTTGTATTAGTTCCGTGATAGGCGCCTATCAAGTTTGATTATGATGTCTCGCATAAAAATTATGTAGCGTCAAGCGTGGTTGATAGTTTGCTGTCACGAACTAGTGCCAAAAAACTTTTATGAACTACGAGCTAGTTAGAGCTACAAAAAAATTAAGCAATCTATGAAAACTTAGCACATTTTTTGTTTATTTTTGTAAAGAGTTTGTCCAATAGCAGGCGAAAATTAGTTTCAGTTTTAGTAATTAAATACTATCATCTATATAAATAAAAAAACTTTTGAACAAAAAAATAAAAACCGACTTCAAACAAAAGCACTAAAAAGTAAAAAATAACTGATTGGTAGTTTTCATTTACTATACATACCTAATCAAATATTTTCGAAGTCGGCGTGCTTTGCTTTGTATGGGCTGGCACCGATTTCGAAAATATTTGATTAGGTATGTATTTAATAGGTAAGCTTTAATTACTTAGCCAAAGCACACCGAATTCGAAAATATTTGATTAGGTATGTATAGTAAATGAAAACTACCAATCAGTTATTTTTTACTTTTTAGTGCTTTTGTTTGAAGTCGGTTTTTATTTTTTTGTTAAAAAGTTTTTATTTTTCCCTTTTTAGTGTAGACAGTAGTAGCATAGTAAGGATTCTAACGTGTTAGGCTTGTCAAATCAAACAAAATAAGCCCAAACTCAAAGTATCTACTATTAGCCGTTGAAGAGTTCCACCTATCCACCTTCTGACCTTGCCATCAGATCAGGTCAACAACACCGAACCACTGTACTATCAACGGAAATAGAAATACTTGCAAAGTTTCAAGTCAATATGACAATTAGAAGTAGGTTAAATTCATCATTAGTTGTTTTTCCACCCTTAGGGGTGGTATTTTTTTTTGAAATTTAAATGGGACCAATCTGGAAGTATACCCTTTCAAACAAAACAAAAATTGTCCAAATCGGTTAATAAATGACGGAGTTATGAGGTAACAAACATAAAAAAAAACATACAGTCTAATTGAGAACCTCCTCCTTTTTGAAGTCGGTTGAAAATGAAACCGAAATGTATGTGAGTACGCGCATAACTTACGCTCGACTGCACGAAATTGGATAATTCTTTTTTTTTTGTGTTTGTTATTGTTAGGACTAGCTTTGTATAGAAGAAAATTAAAAGAATCTTTTTTTACTACAATAAGATTTTTTTAAATCTCGTGATATGAAAAGTAAGTGAGATAGTTTTATCCCGGAAATCATTCCTTAAGGGGGTGAGAATTGGGATGAAAGTTTGTATGGGGATTGGGGAAGCAAGCTAAGGACGAACCCGAGCGAAGGGCGACTCGCTAGTAAATGATAAAATTATCCTTAATATAAAATAATATTACTCATATGATAATCATTAAGTGTAATCTCAAAAATCGTTTATAACATACATAAAACACACATATATATATATGTATATATGTATATATATATATATACCATATATATAATATATATATATATGTATACCACACTGAAGGGCAAGTTACGCATACAATTTGCTACTTTGGAAAGGTCATCATATTTATGTAAAGTGTTAAGTAACGTAATATTATCGCTTCCGTTCTTTAAAAGTATTTCACGGTAAATATAAATTTTCCAAAGGCTATGAAATTATTGTATAATCCTCATGGATTTTCTAAATAAAATAGAAATCAGCAATTTTGTTGAATAAAATTGAAACTACATAAACAGAAATGGATAATGTTTAGTAATTACATTAAAATGTAAGAGAAATAGTTTTCTAAAATGAGAAAATCGTTTGGAAAATATCACTCTAAAGAGGATGTGATGGGAAATTAAGTTGATATTAAATCTATATGCATTACAGTTGCAATAACAGCAAAACAAATAACTTTCTGTAAAATTAAAAGGATATTATACGAATGGCAAACATACACTGTTAATGATGTTGGTAAGAATATTAATTTCAAACTGGAGATTGTATCTTTCTAAAAAATATTAATAATTAAATCTTCTTGTATGGATGTATTGAATAGTTTATTACGTTTGACGCCCATTTTGTAATCATTAGTAAAAGCTAAGTAGAGTCGTTATAAATCGCTTTATATTAATATTGTTATGTACTTTGACAAGTAATAAATTGCTGTTTTTTTTTGATATGCAACTTAATATCTTGTTAAGTGATTAATATAGCTGTATATAGCAAACGATTCGCATCATTTAAGAGACAGTGGAAGTTATTATTCTACCTAGGAAGAATTAGGTAAACTTATTTTTATGTTCGTTAAGCTAACACTAAACTTAAGGTGGACTTGATCAATCTTTGGCTTAACCTCCATATCTTAAAAAGCGTATGTTCCAAATACCAAACAATACGTACGAGCGACTCTTATGGAGCGATTATAATTGTAGTAACATAGCGGTAAAAAAGTTAGTAAAAATTTGGTTAGACTATTTAGAAACTTCGCAATGATTATATTTCATGGAGTAGGATGTAATTCCAAATTACTCAAGTACATACATATGTACACTACACTTTAACTGCCTCGGTGGTGTAGTGGCTAGTATAAACGGCTGCATATCCGGATGTCCTGAGTTCGAGTCCCGGGTCGGGTCCAGCTCAGTTATGGAGTTTTTCTGTTTAGTAAGTCTCAGTAACAGCCCGGAGTTGGGAAGTCGACGGTGTTTCACCCCCGTGCCTCGGAGAGCACGTAAGTCCGTCGGTCCTGAGCCTGTTAAGGCTGTTAAGTGAGAGTTATCTCACTGGTCGTGTCGAGTGGTCGTCCCACCAGAAAATGAGTGTGACAGGAACAAACAATGCATTTGTGTTTCTGCGTACTATAATACCTTTTGCGAATATAGTCTCAGAAATGGGTCGGAAAAACTAGGGTAGTTTCATGTTTTTGTTTAATAAAGAATTCTCTTTATTCCGATACACTTATAGTAGGTACTTTGTTCAACTTCGTAATAGTCTGAAAGCTAACCCTCTTTTCTTGTATATAAATAAAAATGAATGTTCGTATGTTTACCTACCCTCTATGCGTTTCTAAAACATTGACCCGATTGTGATGAAACTCTGAGGGGTTATTTTGTATACGCCTACAAAGGTTTCTGGCGCAAATAAGAAAATTTTTCTTTGGTCGTTTGTCTTATATCCGTTCCTGAGCCATTCAAGCTTAGGGACGCACCCGACTGAAGCGAGGGTAAGTCGCTATTAATATATATAAAAAAACACACGTTTCTTTGTATGTTTGTCCTCTACGTGTTCCTAACCTATTCAACCGATTGTGATGAAACTTTGATGAGTTGTTTAGCGTACGTCGCGAATGTTCCTTGCCTAAAAATATTTTTTCTTTGTGTGTCCTCCACTGAACTCTAGCTCACTGTACCACACGGTACTAGAGTAAAGTAAGGGTTAGCGGCTAGTAATAATTGTATGCCTTTATTAAAAAGTTATAAAGCCAAAAAAAAATTACATTCATAATAAAATGTGTCACGTAATATCATCTCGTCTCATATCACATGAAGTAGTATTTGTTGTCTAGTAATTTTTCTCACGGATAAATTACACTTTACTATGTAACAGTGAAAGTGGTATTCAAATCGATCATATTTTAAAGCAACGGATAGACAAAAATACAGATCACTTTACATTTGGTAGTATATTGTAATCAGCAGAGCAATTTCTTTATTCTACGCCTGCGGGTCCAGTGCGTGGGTATTCATGGTGCAAGCTGTTACTTCTTATGTTGTAACATGATGATATGAATCTCGTTGTTTTCTAGTGCTCCGTACGCAATCCTACACATATGTATCGTAATACCTCTTATTATTGGTCCGAGGAAAATTAAAAGTTGGCTTGTATATTTATTACCGAAATGTCTAAATCTTTTATTCGAAGCTGTCTGGTGTGCAACGCTTTAGGATATCTTACATCAGTCGAGTTTTAATTATATATTTCATGGTAAGTAGAGTATCGTTTCTTGAATAAAGCTATGCTAACGTCAACAAAACAATGATATAAAAATATTTTTAAATAAAAGTATTTTTTGGCATTTTTTTTCGCTTTTTTTTTATTTCCCGACGTTTCGAATGCTTTCCAGCAAAAATTGTCACGGGAGAGACTTATATAGAGAATATATTTTTACTTAATTTTGAACAGAATAGAGACGGGAGACCGTTTGTTTCGTAAATTATTTTGAGCTTTAGAATGTATGTTAAGGTGTCATTTAGGAGCGTTAAACCATGTCAGGGAACTAAATTAGGTGGGCAAAATAATTTGGTGTTTAATATTTTGGTTTGAGAATTATTTTTATATGTAAATGTTATTATATTATACTCCAAACGTGCACAATTCTCATGCATAGAAGTAACAAATCTATAAAAACTCCATAGTACCTATTTGTGTTATAACACTAATGAGAGAATCATACAAACAATATTTAAACATTATAAACTTTTTTGAAATTTTATAATTTTGTATTTTATTAAAAACAGTAAAAAAGGTAATTAAAGTGCGAAATGATTAGTAAACATCAATTATTTTGTACTAGAGAACACTTACGTAATATATTAATTAGTCCCACCATATGTAAACTCGTAATATTTTATTGTAATCTTACCATAACTAAATTCAATTAAGTCATTACCGTGCTTACTATTTTGTGATTCGTTGTTGCGCATTTTCATAAAAGCGTGTAACAAAGAAACGTTTGCCGGAAAATGCAGTTGATAATATTAATTTTCGATTAAAATCAAACATTTTAATGAAATGTTGTCGTGAATTAGATTTTGAATAAGATATGCTTTTAAAATTTGGTAAGTTTATAGAATAATAATAAAGAATTAGCTTTACAATAAAATAACAATTAACGTTTAGTTTAGTTTGTTGGATATTTTTATTTACAGTACAGATGTATGGAGGCTCAAAAGTGTTACCAAAGCCTATGTATCAAGAAATTCATGGTCCTTTGTGCGGTTCAAATTTTGTAAACTATCCATCGCGATCTCGTTTTATGGTAGACAAGAAAAGAAGTCCACATCTCATAGTTTTACATAGAGGGAAATGTAAAAAAGTATGCCAGATTTACGCCCCCGTTTGTGCGAGCGACATGAAAACATACCATAATGAATGCCAGCTACAATATGCGAAGAAATATAATAAAAGATTGTATGCTAAATTTAGAGGTAAATGTTCTAATATGTTGCTTTTAAATCATTTTAGGAACATCACTTACCTGGTGGGTGAAGATTATTATTTCGGTTCACCGGAGGAAGAACCTTTTGATCCAAACGAATGTGTCTTACATTGTTAGAATGTGCTATTTAAAAATTGTTAAATAAATTTTTAAATGAAACTATCAAAAGATATAATTTTCATTTTATTTTATCATAAAAAAACTTAAAATTCATTTACCAAGTGTACGTAAATTTGCTCGTGTTGTCGTCCTTTTTTAAAGTTAATTTTCTCTTTTCTTTTCTGAAAAAATTATGAACTTGATTAAATAACTTAAGAACATTTCTATTCTAATTCTATTTATTTATCTATCATCGTACCATTTCCGTAATAATAGTACACACGACCTCACACTTTTCTTTACCGATTTACCTACATTATACATGCCATGTTATGTGTAATTTTTGCAAAGGACCCAGTTTTTCAGTTATAATTATGAATATAATTTTTTTAGTTATAATTTTTGAACGTATTTTAATAAATAAAATAAAAAAATTAAATAATATAAATGAAACATAATTACTTTTGTAAATACTCGTCTAAAGTATCTAAAGTATCTTGCATAGCGTGGTCTTTCTTCATTTTACTGCTATAAATAATTTAGCAATGGACGACTCGGAACAGAGTTTATAGATCCAAACTTAGGTACTAGATTTTCTTGACACGGTGAACTATATAGTATCGTAATACTTTGTTCTGTTGGAAATTACATATATTGTCATATGTTATTCCATTTGATGCGCATATTTCTATTCATCTTCGTCATCATATCTTCATATTCACAGTTAATTATATTATGAAGCGCGTCCGTCTGAACGAAATACAGCTTTGTAAGTAGCAAATATATTACTGCTAAATCTTAAATTATTATAATTATTAATAATACAATCTACTAATTAATTATTTTTTTATTGTATTATGTTAACTTTCTCACCAGCTGTTAGTAACATTTTTACAAACCAGATAAAAATTAAAATTGTTATTTAAACAACAATAAAACGAACTTGCTGTCTGCTTTGAAAATTAAAACACTGTACGTATATTTCAATTAATATAGCTGTGCTGATACTAATTCTTTAGTAATTGATTAGTCAAGCTTGAAAATTATCATCAAAACTTAATAATGTGATAATTTTATTTTCCTTTTACACAGTGATTTATTTTTTTATTATTAATAAATACTTGGAATATTTATTTGATTGAAAATCTTGAGTGCCCAAATTAAAAATAAAATCATATCTTTACCTACTTATGATAGGTATCCAATTATCATCAATGGACTGAATGAAATGAATACAATATTCTACATTTTATTTATAACAAATATGTAGTGGCTTAGACAAGATGATATGCAACCAACGCGTTAGAAATAGAAATTTAATTTACGCTAAGAATTAAAAATTATATTGAAATGACAATAAATCTTTATGTCGTAGAATCAACATTACACAATAACAGTATCGTATCGTAAATATAAATATTCTCAGATATAAAATGAACGAATGTATAAGAGTAGGAAAAATGTTGGAAAATAGAGGAATTAATATGTTGTGGTATTAATATATAATATATTAAATCATAACAATATTATAATTGTTAAAGTAACTTTACTGGCCGTCAAACTCTGAACAGATTTGGATAAAAATTGCCAAACCCTAGGTATATAAGAGCATATATAGCAAAAACTATTATCATAGATATTTGAAAGATTCTTTTAGAGAGTGCATCTGTGACATTATTTTGTTGATGAATAAAAATAATTGTGAATGCACTTAATTGCATATCTTAAAGTGTTCGGTACTAAATTCAATAATATTATACAAGTACCTTTTGATGTACATAATTATATCGAAAGTCACTAAAAAAAATTAAATAAAAGGAAAGTGATTATAATCTTTATTCAATATCCATTGTATTGCTCTTTTATGTATTTTTAATTACTTAAACAGCATCGCATACATGGAGGTGTAAAATATATGACTTTATTAACAAATATTATCTGACGAGGACAATCTATTCGGCATTTTCGGAAACATTTGCTGAATATAAACAAAATTTCAGGATCTCCGGCATATACAGGTATTTGTTGCACAAGGTTTTGTTTCGGTATTTTTTTTAAAGCTTTGTATTTAGATTTAAGAGTATCTTGGTCTTTCGGTTCTTGTTTTTTTTTACCATCATATGAAGTTAGCCCAATCAGACAGCGTCCCTCGTACAATATTGTTAGATCTCCGTCTTCAGATTTTGCGTTGTTAAATTCACATATATTGTTATATGACTTTCCGTCGGCACCACAAACGGGGTCATTTGAAGAGCAACCCCAATCGATGGCGTGAAGCGTTTGTATAAACGTAATAAGAATAACGCTTACTGAAAAATTACGTAGAATTATTTATATTAAATTATATTAATTTTACTACATACTATATAAGCTACACTTATATACTATATAAGCTTACTGAAAAATTACGAAGAATTATTTATAATTAAATTATATTAACAAATATAATTTAAATATTTGTTTAATATAAGTTTACTTATAATAAAAATATATACATTAATAGGTTTTGTCTAAAATAAACTAAAATTTCTCTTATTTGGCGAGATATAAATAAAAATATTATCTATATTAATATTATAAAGAGGTAAAGTTTGTGAGTTTGTGGGGTTGTTGGGGGTAATCTCTGGGTCTACTGAACCGATTTAGATGAAATTTAGTAAGAAGATAGTTTGAAACCCTGGGAAGGACATAGGAGACTTTATATCCCGGAAATCATCTCTTAAGGGGGTGAAAATGGGGATGAAAGTTTGTATCGGGAAGCGTGCTAGGGACGAATCCGAGCGAAGCGAGGGTGAGTCGCTAGTAATAATATAAATAGAAATGGTAAGTCTTGAAAGTTGAATGGCCTGTAATCCCAACAAACTTATTTGACAAATTATATAAGGGAAATAATAACATTAATTATGAGTATAAATAAATAAAACATTTATTATATGTACTTACAAATTAATAACATGATAAAATTGAGTATTGTTGTTCCGTTTACTCGAATTGAACGACAGGCCTCTATGCCATACGAGGCGTAAATTATTTTCTACGATCTAAGAGTGTACGCTGTACACATACTTTTATAATCATGTAGTGATTATAATTGGTACATGTTTAAATTTTCTCTTATTTGCAGGTAAAATTTATTTAATGATTAATTTTAACATCTAGGTAGATAGATGTGTTTCTGTGCATAAATATTATTCTTATAATTAACACAATGAAAATAATTGTTTCTGCAATATATCAACATATGTATATTATACATATATACATTTTATATAGAAATGCGTCTCCTGTAGGTACTTAATCGTTGTAGGTCAATGTTTAAGTTGAATTTAAAATACAATATAACAACTACAAAAATTAAAATATATAAAACATCAAAGTGATCTCTAATTTTTTATTAATAACTTACCTACCCTCGCTTCGCTCGGTTGCATTTCTAGATACCCGGATTTTGTTTACAATTTTATGGGTTTTCATTTTTTTTGCGCGGAACCCTCATTCTTTTTCTAAAATAAAAGTAGCTTAGTTAATCTTTATAACATCAGCTATCTGCCAGTGAAGTCCCTTCAAAATCGGTGCAGCCGTTTTGGAGATTATCCGGAACAAACAAACAGACAGACAGTCAGAAAATTTAAAAATGGTTTTGTTCTCATTCGTACAGTAGAGACTTCCATACGCATTTAGTAAAAAGCTGTTATTTTGACATTATAAACAGACACTTTAATTTTATTTATTTGTATTCATAGGTTATAACATATGTAGGTATAAGTATCTGATGAAAAAATATATTGATTTCATAGCAGGTGGTCGGACAAACACTATGCCCTTAACGGTTAAGTCGCGCCTACTCCACCGTCGGTGAGTGAAGCATATGGCTACAGATCAAGTTCCTTTTACATAGAAGCCATATGTACCTAAACCCAAATCTTTGTAATAAACCATATTTTGTTATCATTGCATTTTGTTATTCTAGCCTTTTTAAAATGCTGGAAAACATTAGAACAGAAACACGCTGTAATGTGCAAAATAAATTAATGTACAACTGGCGAAAATGGGGATTGACCTTGCTTATAAATGCAAATTACTTTGTTGTTGTGTAAGAATATTATAAACGATATACTATTATACAATAGGTACTTTAAAATTCTTAACATTTGGTATGATTTTTAAAATATTCCCCTCTGAAAGTGTTGTCGTATGTAAAATCGCAGTCTTTTGAAGTTTAGATGCACCCCCTGGATCCACATCTTTCAATTCGCCCTTATGTTGTCATTCATACATCTGTAAAATAAATTTAAATTGGTGACATCGAAAGGCAAATTTAACTAAGGTCTTAAAAAAATTAACTGATAAAAATAATAAACCCGTCTGCGTAAAAAGCGAACTAAAAAGATGAGGGCAAGTTGAGCAAGAAACATAGTATTATGCAGTCGGAGACACAATTTTTTTTATACTATTCTGAATTGGTGCTTGACTGCGTTCCACCTGATGGTAAGTGGTAACGCAGTCGTAGATGGTAAGTCGCACTAATTCAGTAGCCACCTATTCACTCTTGCCTTGAAGACACCCATATTGTAATCGGACGGACACACCGACGCCGGCAGGTTGTTCCAATCCTTAGCCCTACGTATAATAAATGTACATAGCCGTACATACAATACACGTAGCAAGACTCACAGCTAGTATAAAACATGTATAATATAATATGTGATGTATTTAATCATATCTATATACGTTATAAAATCTTCATAGAGTCTAAATACTAAATCTAGCTGACGACTTTGCATGAGATGAGTGCCAGGATATTTAAAAACGCCTTAAAATCCAGACAGTTATTAGAAGCAAGAAATCCAATTCTTAATATTTAAATATAGTAGGTATTTCAATAAAAATATATAAAAACGTTAAGGAATATGTATTGTAGATGTAAATAATATTGTTTAACAATTGGCATCATAATATTTTTTTTATTTGCATTGCGGTAATTTTAAAATTCGTCATCTTGTTTTTTTTATTATTTTTTGTTATAGCGGTATTAGAAATACCTGTACACTTTGTGAAAATTTCAACTCTCTGCCTATTACGGTTCATGAGATACAGCCCGCCGACAGACAGACGGACGCACAGCGGAGGCTTAGTAATAGAGTCCCATTGGCATCCTTCGGGTACGGAACCCTGATTAAAACTACCGCAAGTTTATGCAAAACAAAATTAAAGACATCTTTAAGTTCGAGATAGAATTACATAATTTGTTGGAAGCGTATCTTAATTCACAATTCATGAACGCAATTACTTGCGTTTTCAGATGGTTAAACGCCTTATCAACGTCTGGTACTCGTGACGTTCGAGAGGGAACTCACAGAGCGACGGTCACGACTTCGCTCGATATTCCAAAATGTTAACGAGCCTGGGCGCGAACGAAAGTGAACAAATATCTACCATTGTTTAAGGAACAGGTGCTGTGATGTAGATAGCCGCCTTCGTAATCCGACACCTACAGACACATCGGGACTGGTTGCATGTTACATAAATGCTTCGACAATTTAAACTCAGCCTTGCCAATTTTATCTTCTCTTTGTAATTAATTAATTATTATGTCATATTTTTTATTTATTATCCAAAAGTTTCTGTCTGCATTTTTACGGCTCTTAGAAACTATATACGTATGAATGTATACGGAAACACATTAAAACGATTGAAAATGCTAACACTGAATAATGTCATTGGCGTGATCTTGAATATAACTAAAATATATATACATAATATAAATATTATAACCTCAATATATTTTTGTTTAAATTGCTTACTAATGGCAAGCGCCGCCGCGCCGTCTGCCTGCGGCTCCGCCTGCAACTATTTACACTATAGTGTATCTACCATTTCAGACTTTACTTGTTTTACAAAAACTATTAAAATTAATGTGATACTTTTAAATCATTCAAAGCATGACGCATCATATCTACATTTGCAAACAAAATATTGAAAACTGTTGACGTGACTTCTATAATTACTTAAGTTAGGCAAAAACTTCTCAAATAATTCAATGCACAAATTCTATATATGTATTACAATTTTATTTTGTTTTATATATCTATAATATATATGGTATAAATGGCCAGTAAAAAGTTTGGTTACGAGAGAAACATGGATGCAGATTATCTGATAGGAAGAGAGAAGTAACTGACATAGATAAGATGGCAGATGAACAGAAGGAAGTGGCTGACAAGTGATACAATCAAGGAGAAATCAGGCCTACTTTAAGCAATCAGAAAATACTTATTTTTTTTTTAAATAAGTAGTTTATACTTTATAATGAAATAAAAGTGAAGTTGTACAATCTTAGGTTTAATGTTTTCTTAGATTTATTATTGGAATAAAACCTATGTCCTATACCTTTTGGGTATTTAGTAGTTTCTATAATATGTAAAGTGTACCTAAAACTAAATATTAAAAAAGTTCACACAATATATAAATGCACTAAACTACAATTTGTTGCATGTTGCACGGCGCGCGGCGGCGCAAAAATCTTTAATAGTTGTCATAAACATATTATTCGGTGGATCGTTGCTGACCCGAAGCTACTCGTACATTAAGGATTTCGAAAAAACGTTCGTAACGTTTTGTTTAAAGGTTCCATTATATAACAAGCTTTTAAATATTTTTTCGGTTTAAGTAATCGAGTGTAATCCAAGTTAAGCTACCGATTGTTACTATATAGTTTCAATTTATTTATCCTTCAACCCGCAAAAATAACCCCTAAAATTAGAAATAATTTATTTCCTTGAACCTCCCCTACTACTTTTACTCTAGTTTATTAGAATTTTTACGTCCAGTTGGTTCGGATAAAATAATATGTAATAGACGTACAGGCCGATAGATACTCGAGTGATCCTATAACAATTCTTTCTCACGAAACCCTAGAACAATTCAATATATTATTGTTTGGAAGGCTTTAAATATATTTTTTTACTACAAAATTAATGAGCGTAACTAAATTAATTTATCGAGTTTAGGTAGCATCCCCACCACTTTACTCACATCTTAATTACAATGTTTGTGGTGTCAGAAATGTTATTTTTCTATATCTAAGACAACAAATAACAAACATATCTTAGGGCTACTACTAGACCTAATATCTGTAAATATATTTACCCACAAAAAGGGCGCTTATTCAAATCTAGTTCTTTAAGTACTGATATAAATTGTTTCCTGGCTAAAATCTATATAAGAAGATACACCAACACAGCCAGACGAGTTGAAAAATTTAGTATAATATATTCTTTTCATAGATAATGCAACTGCAACGTACAAACTATATCAATGACAGTATGCATATCGAGTTCACCATCTTTTAATACATCAGTGTGGAGGGACCAGCAAATCCTTAATTAAAACAAGACGAGCTACGCTGATACTCTGGGTACAAGTTGTACCTACATGAGAATTTGAATCAGAAATACCTAAAGCTAGAATTACGTAATAAAATGATCCGTCATGGCTATCAAGTTTGTTTTATATAATAAAGTTTGTTAAGACGTTCACAATATTTTGTATTTATAACAACAACATTTATTGAAGTAAAATCTATAACAATATCATAATTGAATTTTATCTGCCTACTTAAGAAGAGCCTCTGAGCTAAACGAGCTTTTTAAAGACTAAAATGTTTAATTTAATAGGTAGGTATGTATAAATGAATATTTTAAGGTATTATTTTAATATTGCATGTTATGTAGCACAATATAAAAAGCCGGTCAAGTGCGAGTCAGACAGCTCATTACAGCTTTTTAAAAGAAATGGACTGATAGGGTAAGTTTTGTAGAATGGTAACGTGTGGTCGTGGTAGAGTGGTACCCTTTGGGTAAATAATTTTATTAAACAAAGTTCACCCTTTTACGTACCAAAGGATGGAACTGTGTGAATTCAACAGTGTACTGACTAATTAATGTAAACCTTGTG